CTGGATTGTGTTGTAGCGCATGCGCAGGCTCGCAATCACACGGCACATAGGCGAAAAAAACTGCCTACCGTCTCTGTTCTAAATAGATTACCATGGTGTAAGTAGGCACTCGTTGATCTACATTTAATACACTAATGCATAAGGAATATCGTGGTAAATCGGTGAGGCGCGCGCCGTGTGTGTGTTTTGTTTTGTTGTGTGTTGTGTGGTGTGTGTGTGTGTGTTGTGTGTGTGTTGGTGTGTGTGATGTGCGTGTGTGATTAGATATTCTGCGAACTCAATCGATTTCGTTCTGGTTTTAGTTTAATAGGGAACTTGCACATGTCAGAAAAACTACACTCAGTAGTAAAGATTTCTTCTACTTTTATTGAAACGTGTAAGTAAGGTAGGCCGGATAAACCCCTTTAAGCTTTTAAATTTCAAACGTAAGACTCAGAAAGTGATGGCCAAATGTAGAGTATCTACACGCCCAATAATTATAATAATAAATAATAATAATAACTAAATAATACTAATAATAATATTAGTATATCATATATATATATATAATATAATATATATATATTATATATATATATATTTATATATATATACCGGCCAGCGGGCACCGATTGTTGTATCCTTCTCGCGCATGACGTATACTCTAAGGTACACACTGTTAACATACGGTATATGTAATATTGGACTTAATTTCAGCGAGATACCACGCCATGCGCTCGGAGCATCCTGTACATCAGACTTGTGTCGACTACGGTGCTATTAGTAACACAAAAACGACAACGGGGGAGACAACGCAAAAGATGGACGCAGAAAGTCTAGTTTACAAGGCGCGTATTTAGGAGTAAAGACTTAAGAACGATATAAGCACATATCTGACGCCGCGAAACCGGGCCGGTACAGCCACAGAACGTGTGTTTTCGATAGGGCGACTGTGTTAATATGGCCATGCAGTATGGCAGCGCAGGGGTAAGTAGCTGTAAGTGGAAAGACATCTGACCGCTGCAACAACATGGAGAAAGTCAAGACCTCAAAACAAGATAATGTTATTAATTGTAGCATATTAAAGGGACAGTAGATCGCTTTTAGGATTTTACTGAATACAACTGTACTAGCTGTATAGTACCAATCGTCTTACCTCACAATTATTTGTCACCAGATACAGTTAATCTAATTATTTACGGACATTAACGCTACGAAATTTGAAGCGCGCCATGAACACCAGCGACGTGCTGCACTCTCAAAAAGTTGCTATTTGTCATTTACATTTTGCAGTAAATTGACACGAGGCTTAATCAAAAAGTGCAATTATATTGTATAGTCCTACAATAGCTATTTAACCGAACGATATTCATTTAGGGCAAATTTATCTCCATATTATAACTGAAACTATATGTCGTTTATAACATATTAAATACTTTTTGGCTTTTAAATGAATAAATAAGAAACGCTCGCGGGGAATCTGTCGCGCTTTGTGGAAAAGTGGTTCTGCGGCAACCTTTTCAGATCGTGCGGCTTTGAGTGGCGAACCGTCGTTGTAGTCATAACTGGTATGTCGTTAGGTTTAAAACATTTAAAAAAAATATTTCTAATGGTGATTGAACCATGAAACTTTTTATGTAGCGCAATTATAACCTAAATTAGCTTAAAATAACCCTAGAACCTAGAGGCTACTGTTCCTTTAAACAATTTACAAAAACTGTTTACAATATGTAAACAGCGAGTCCGCAATACATAATATCAGGAGTGAATAATAATAGCAATATAATAATAGCAATATAGAATAATAAAAATATGCAATGGACCCGATTAAGGTAGGTAGAGTACACGTACGTGATATACATACCACCCGCGCAAAACGTGGAACACAGTGATGAGTAGCGCAGTTCCGACATGTGCACAGGTGATCGTAAAGCACGCAGGAACTAATCAACACAGGTAACCTTATTCACATTTCACTGAGGGAGTGTGCACGACAAACAAGCGAGTGTAAATACAGACAGACGCGTACGGCGGCGCTGTCGCATGGTGTAAACACATGTAGAACGCAACGTGCACACATTCCGTTACACTAACGTTGAAGGAAGCACAGCAGAACAATGGATCGACGTAAACAAGGTATATATAATATTCACGTACTTCATAGTGATGATCACGACACACGAACGTCCAGGAATAGACTGGTGAGTATAATGTATATTGTAATGCATGTATATATGTATGTGTGTACGTGTGTGTGTGTGTGTGCGTGCGTGCGTGCGTGCGTGTGTAAAAATTTAGATATACGGTAGCATATTTATTCCATAGAGCGAGCTTTCAAGACAACGCCCCTTCCTAATGACATAATTTAGTTATACCTACTCTGTCAACAGCCAATAGTTATATGTATAATGGTAATAGTATAAAGAAACACCATTTACTGTATTCCTATCAAAAATCAAGCAATCTTTAACGAGAATGCATGTATAAATAGTAAACTGGGAGATTTTGTGTTCCGTAATTACATTATACCGAAGTAAACAAGGTATAGCTATCAGTATTTCTATTAATTGCTCCGGAGAGCACGATTTCTGTCTCTAGATATGACCCCATCAGGGTTCCCATTAAACAATAAGTACCATACGTGAAAGACACTGTATTGTTATACATCGTGATACTGCGTTTCTCTTTCTATACTATAGCAATTTGCCACCGTGGGTTCATTGCGCCTGCGCGCAGTACCAGAACAGGCACGATTATTAGATATGTCTATTGTTCGTAGCAATTTGAAATTACTTTAGAAACATCCGATAAAAACGTTGATGGTGTTGTACGCATGCGCACAGCAATCACAGCGGCACATAGGCGAAAAAACTGCCCTGAACGTCTCTGTTCTAATAGATATACATGGTGAAAGGCACGTTGATAATACATTTTAATACACTATGCATAAGGTAATTATCTTGGTAAATTCGGTAGCGCGCGCGCGCGTGTGTGTGTGTGTGTGTGTGTGTGGTGTGTGTGTGTGTGTGTGTTGCGTGTCTTGTGTGTGTGTAGGTTGGTGTGTATAAGATGTGTGTGGTGCGTGTGTGAATAAGGATTCGCGAACACGGAGACATAATACTGGTTTAGTTTAATGGAACTGCACATTCCGAAACCTACAGCTCAGGTAGTAACATTTACGCTTCCACTTTTTATGTAAACGTGTAAGTAGCTACCGTCGAACTAAACCCACTTTAAACCTTTTTAAATTTCACCGTAAGAACCATGACAATGTAAGATCTACCGCCTACTACAATAATTATAATTAATTAGTAAATAATACATAATAATAATATCAATAATAAAATATTATGTATTTATATATATATACCTAAAATATATATAATGACTATATAATTAGTAGACTAATACGGCAAGGCGCACCGATTGTTATCTTTCGGCGATGACGTACTACTGCTATGTACATCTACTGTTATATCAGCCGTCATAGTATTCTGGACTTTAATCGCAGAGGAGTACCCCCCATCCATCGCTCTGTACGTCAACCGTGATCTGACTAACAAGTGGACACTCATTAGTTCACATCGTCAAAAGACGACAACGAGGGACAACGCAAAAGATGGACCAGCACAGGTATATAGTATCGTAGTTTAGGCGTAAACAGACTGTAGACACATATTAGAACGCCCAACCGACAGTCACAGAACAGTGTCGTTTTCTCTGAATTAGCGACTGGTTAACGATGGCCCATGGCAGTATGGCAGCGCAGGGGAGTAAAACGCTTTGTAAAAAAGCTTTGGGGAAAAAAAGAAAAAAACACCTCCCCGGCCTGCAACAACATGGGAGTGCCGCGCAGATATGTATAATTGTACATATACAACAATTTACAAAACTGTTTAGCAATAATTAAAACCAGCGAGTCCCCGCAAATAGCATAATATCAGGAGTGAATAATAACTTGCAATATAAATAATACAATATAAGAAATTAATAAAAAATATGCTATGGACCCAGATTACAGGTAGGGTTAGGACACGTAAAGTGATATAACATACCAC